TACAAAACTTTGATAAGACTGTAGCTCTACTGGGCTGAACGTTCAATAGTTAATTTTCAATAATTAAAGAGAAAAGCACAAAACACACAGACATGATGGACGAATAAACCTTTACCAATGCAAAAACATTTCTGGTCTTCACCAATAGAGCTAAAAACAAAACGTACAAGTAAAAATCGAAAGTGGCAGGTTAAATTTTCGACATCAGCAAAGTCATCACCATACAGTTTAATGAAGCTACAGTTATTACAAATGGAGTCACATGGTTCTCCTGTGCCCACTTGAAAGAGTGTTGGTGGTGCTGTACTGTTTACAGAGCAGTCGTCGCCTATCCAAGGATTGATACATTCACAAAGTCCTGTAAATATGTAAACATAACAATTTCTAGAGGTCTCTGCGATTTTACATGGAACAGCTTTGTAATATTAAATAATTATAGATGTACCTTCTGAACAGTTTCCATTGTATGTGCAGCTGTTGGGACATATCGTGCCTACAATATCTGGTGGGGGAATCGAATCCCCAGTTTCGTTATTTATGGTCCATTTCTCTGTGTCCCCCTCCACAATAGTTATACACTGTTGTTGTAAATTATCCATACTCTCTTTTGCCCATTCTTGGTCATCAGTGAGCTACAGATAAAATGATATGGTAGATACAGACAAAAACTTGGTTTTATAATCTCTATAAATGTGTACCTAATATCAATTACCATTACTATTCATTACCAACTAAATTTACTAAATACTAAATAATAATAAATTTATACTAGTTTGAAAATACGGAAATATCTTTAATTGCTGTGGTAAAATTTTTTTTTTCAAAACTAAGGATTTTCTCCCTCATGCATAGTTATGATTCTTGGACGTATTTGGCTCACGTCTTTGGCACTTTTTTTCAACTCTTCCAAGTCTTTTTTATTTAAATATTTTGGATTTCCAACGTTTCGGCTTGAGCATCACTGAAGAGACATAATTTGTCGAAATGCGCATCTGATGCATCAAAATTGGTAACATATGATTTACATTATTACGTTCCCTATTTCTCAATATCTCAACAAATGTCTACCGGGGAGACTTAAAAACTTTGTGTATCAATACAATCGATTTTTACTGCAGCTGACAAAATAAACAAAGTTATAAATACCATCACAATCAAATGTACAGCTGGAAGGGATAAGCTTCAATGTACATGTCTGGTTTGCGAGTAATTGCAAGTTCAATGCAATGGGTCAACCGCTTTTTTGGAGGGGTGGGGTGGGAGGTTATAAAAGTGTATATCGGCTTGTAATAATTTTGATTCTAAGTACACGTATAGTTTAGCTTAGACATTTTCTCACAGTTTCTTTTCAGCAGTTTTAATTGGCTGGTAACGAATTCTCCTTATTTAGTCCACGTGAAAAGACGTGTCCTTTGCATTCAGAGAAATACTTAGTCCCTGTATATGCCGAAATCTTCGTTTACCCAGATGGTAAATTACAAATAAGCTGATTCACGGTTGCATGCCTAGCTGTCTGCAACAAGGTCGTGTTTGGGCCATATCCCTTTAGCCTCTAATACAGGACTTAATGCAACCCATAAAGTATTGTTTCCTACGACTTTGTGGGTCATGCAAAACGTTATGAACAAAAGGTTTTTCTTTTTTCAGTCTGGAAAGTGCTATTACCAAAATATCATTTACGCAGCCTTGCACAATGGGTGTTAAGTCTAAACCAGGAACACTCATGCATTTTCTTCCCGATTCATCGCCTCCCATGAAATCTTCACATATCTTTCTTGCAAAGGTTTCGTTGATATTACTTGGTGTAGGCCATTTCCTCTCCTAGGAGTAAAATCGATGTATTAGAGTTAAGTTACAATTAAATCTCATGTCAATTATGGAGATAAACATTTTATATGTCCAAATCAATTTTTGTCCAAACATGGAGGCAAAACTTTAACCTTATAAGAAACGGTGATTTTATGTTAGAAATTTTTAATATTGATGAATCTAAATACATCGCTTTATTAGATACTGAGTACATAATTCATCTACAAAAATTGAAGATTAATGACGGAGTCCATATGCAGATTCATATCCTTAAAACAGAGATACATAGCGAGTTCTGGTAAACAAACGTACTACCAAGTTTCTTTCTTTACTCCCCAAGAAAATATTAAAAGCAATAGGGGATATACCTCAGGAGTACTACACAACAACATAATTAGATACTGAGTGCATGATTACATGATTCATCAGCAAAAATTGAAGATTATTGACGGAGTCCATATGCATATTCAGATCCTTAAAACAGTTCTCGTAAACGTTCCACCAAGTTCCTTTCTTTACTCCCCAAGAAAATATTCAAAGCAATAAAGGAGATACCTCAGGAGTACTGCCCAATAACATATTCGAGAAGTCGTCTTTATCAAATGTGGATACTTTAAAAGTCCAAGGAATTTTAAGAAATTTGAAATCACAAAATTTTTCAATAACTTAAAATAAAAAATAAAACCGTACTGAAAAAGTATTTTCAACCATGCAACCCTTCCCCACGATAAATTAAAGACCAGGATATTTGCATTCCTTGTCAGTGGTCATATGCAAACTTATTTCTTTAAAAACATTCTGTTCTACACACAAGTACTCCTAGGTTGATATTAAAAAGTTACCTGAGTTTCTCATTGACAATATCTATGTAGTTTTTGAATACCAGGTTTTCCAACAATCTGTCGGTTTTTCATGGGTCCTAATTGTGTTCTTTTATAAGCAGACCTCTTTTTGTATTTTTATGAAACAATTTTTTAAACAAAACTTCTACATGAAAGGAGGTCGCTTTCTCTGGCCTTCCATTCGACATTTAGATATATCGACGACGTTTTATCAATTAACAAAATTAATTTTCAAGCTTACGTTTTTTCGATAAACCCTACTGAACTCGAAATAAAAGCCACCACAGAGTCTGACTTATCTGATTCACATTTGGTATTTTCCTATATTCTACTATTTTACTCTGTTTGTATCTGATTACTCCCCATCCTTTCGGATGACATCTGAAAGAGCGAGGCCCTTTGTCGAAGGCACGCTAAAGAACCCTCATAACTCAATGTCTCCGTGTGCAGAGTAAAGGTTTAAATTTGAAGCCCTTAATCGATACTTGGTGACATCTCATATGAAAGAAATAATTTTGTAAGGGATCTAACAATCAATCAATTCATATCCAGGTATTGAAGTGAGTTCGGGGTGACATACGCTTTTGCTCATTATAGCAGACTTTCTAATTGTCATTGTTTTTTCGAGGAACTATTACAGTAACTCAAAGATCTTACAGGCGATATGTATTCTGGATCATATTCAAATTTTTCTGCTGGAATTGTGGATCTGCATCTTATTGGTGGTGATTCTGCATCTCTGACAAGTTCCGGTGTTAAACGTTTAACTCCTAAATAAAAATAAAAGGAATAAACTTCATCAAAACGTCATTAAACAAAATATTACAACAGTCCAAGTACACGTTGTTGGCCAGAGTTCACTTTACATAATCGGGTGTAATATTAAGATTAATTGATTGTATGTTGTTTTACGTCCCATTCGAGAATTTTTCAGTCATATAGAGACGTCACCATATACCGGTGAAGGGCTTCAAATTTTGACCTTTACTCGGCACTCCAGGGCCATTGAGCAGTGAGGGATCTTTATCGTGCCAACGCCTGCCGTGAGACGGGGCTTCGGTTTTTAAGGTCTCATCCGAAGGACCTGCAACATTCACTTCAAAGTGCCGAGCGCATGGCGAAGGAACAGTGGCTACCCATTTTTTATCGACTTGGGTCAGTCGCGGCCGAGATTCGAACTCACGACCTCCCGATCACGGAGCGAGCGCTCTACCGACTGAGCTACCGTGAACGGTGGTGTAATATTAAGTACTAGAATATAGAATCATCTTGAAAAAGCTGAATATTCGTGTTGGAACGGAATAAGTTACCTGCCAAAAATACTTATTTTACAGTTTTCCCCTGAGATGCTGTTTGCTTTGTCACAAAGTGAGAAAATATCACTATCCCAAATTTTTGCAGATTAATTAAAAACTTTTATTTCATTTATTGAATTAGAGAGGTATAAACTATGCAAAAAAATAATCAAAATTTGCCCATGGTAAGACTTATGAAAATCAGCTTATGTCTTCTGAAACTAATTAGCAAGTTGGTGAATTCAGCGTCAGTATCCAGCGGTATTATCCACACATCGCATGGCTTGAAAAAGAATCATCCATGTTGCAATGTTAATGCTACTCCGCTCAAACAAGTTCTTTGCTTTGACTATGCTTATAATGCATGTTTTTAAAATTTGTTATACATGTATTTGATAAATACAATCAAAAACCTTTAGTTTGACATTTAAATCAATTTTGGTTTAAGAACTACATCAGAAGATGATCGATATTGATGAATGGAAATGTTCAGTCAATTTTACTTTGTTGTGAACAAACCTCTCTTATTTCCGAGTAGTCCTCTTCGCCTCTCAATTTCTACACACCTCATTAGATCCATGCCCTCCTGGCACATCTTAGTCTGTCCCTCTAAGCAGTCACAATAACTCTCCACTTTAATACTGGGTTCAGTTGTCACACAATAGCCCCGATATAACGACTCATCCTCAGAGACTCTAAGAAGTGAGCACATTTCCTTAGTTGTTGAATATGCATTTTCCAACTGATTTATGATTCCATGGGTAATTTATGATACTACAAAAGGTTTAATACCACAGAGTTGATCTGGCAACAATATTGCCATTATTTACCCATTCCTGATATAACCACATTTCTTATTTAAATTATATCTTATTAACAGGACTACATTTTAAAAACAAAATAGCATTCATACAAACTCAAATGAACCATCTTGTAAAAATAAAACAAAAACTTGCCTTTTTGGTTGATATTGCATTATAAAGATGAATACTGAAATTTTCAGGAAATATTTTATCAAAAAATGAATGAAAATATTTCTTAAATCAAAAAATCTTTACCTCCATGATGATGAAAACTGATTTGGTTTAAGCCCTCCTCCAGTATAAACGTTCCCATTCCTTTCCGTGAAATCGTTTGCCCTGTTACCATCAAATGTCCCACAAAGTCCTACAAGGTTTTTCCAATTTTTTGCAAACATTATCAAAATAAAAACTATTCAATTTCACTAAAATTATCTTTTATGGAAAAAAGGTGTATTTTGTGTTGTTTTCGGAAAACATTGTTCACTTACCTTCTGTATTATTAAAATCAAATGTTGAGGCTACAACTTTTACGTTTAAGAATCGTCTGCCCAAGATTGGCCTACCATCCATGACAATCACTTTTGCTCCCGTTGGTAATATAATCTGTTCAATATGTTAAAGCTTAAATGATAGATGTTGACCAGTGATTGGAACACGTCAAAAGTCACATCTTAAATCTCAATGCAATAATAACTAGCCAAAATATAATTTTACGAAAATTGAAAATGTGTTTCATAAAGTATATGATGTTTTTATCTTATTACATGCTAATGTTTGTTTCCAAATTAAACGATTTTTTAAAAAAATTAATTTAATATTTTTTTCTAAATCCCCAAAATGAAAAATTGTGCTTTTTAAAAGTAATGTCTGAACAAGGTCTTTGCAAAAAGTAATAAGAACTACCCGGCAGACATACTTCATACGACTTTCCTCCAGCAATTCTAATGATTTCTGTCCCCGGTGTTAAATCTCCATTGAGGTACATTTTCAGATTATGAGGCGTGCGTCTGGACGATTGTCCCATGGAAGGTCCACAGACGTCGATAAGAATGACGTCATCCACAGATCGCACAACAACTGCACAGTTACATGCGGCTACATTGTTACATCTGCGGTAGTATGTTCGAACCTGATGAATACAATGAAATCTTGAAATGAAAGGAAATTTTGTGGTTGCCCTTACCTCTAGATTAAAGATAGAGAATGAATAGTTGAATATGTATGTAGCTGCAATGAATTCAACACAGGACGAAAGATATATATATATGAAATGCATACAAAAAGTATAATATTAGTTATTCACCTAAAAATGGAAGTATAATGATAGTATAATAGTTAAAAAAAAGCGAATTTAATCAACAGTGACCAATTTCATTAATCCTTAAAACAGAGAAAACAAGAGTGGGAACAAAGACCAACAAGAGGAGTCAGCACTCCCTGTCAACCGGTCACACCCGCCGTGAGCCCTCTCTATGATCAAGAAAACAGGGGTCAAAATTAGTTTGATAAGAGTAAGAAAAAGTAATAAAAAAATAAGTACTTTTATTCCTAAGACAATACTGACCAACTGTAATAATAAAAAGAAACTGGAGTGAGGTCACTTTAATTGGAAAGTCAGCTGCTGATGGAGGACTTAAATATACAACTTGGTCTAATTAATTAAAAATTACCTCGTAAGGCAAGGATTTATGTCTGTATAGAATAAACTCTCCTTCCAAATAGTTATCGTAATATCTAGAAAATAAGCAAAATTTAAATCTTTTTAATTCGTTCCAAAAACATATTCGCAACATGTTCATTTTCAATAAAGAAAACTAGCAAGTGACTAAAAACCCCTATAAATAAAAATGTATAATATTTATATAATACATAATAAAGTATACATGAATGAACTTTATCCAAACTTTAAAAGCTTACCTTCCGTCAAACGTTGTCATGTGTGGATCATTAATTGAAGAACATACAGCGATTTTATCTCCATCCACAATCGTGACCTATGTTGTATATTAAATTTATTAGAAATGAAATACTTGGCAAACATATTAATTTTTCTTCAACGATATATACAGGATAAAACCAATACGAAAAAAAACCTATTCTATTTTTCTGTAAATTTAACGATTGTATCACTCCATACAAAAATAAGATTTAATGAATATGTCTATCCTATTTTATATTTTAATCTCTTACTGGTACAGTGGATATTAGTTCTGTCTTGTTAGAAGTCTGTAAGTAGATTCGGATATTTCTGCCCTTGTCTCGGTCCTTAAGACCATCTGATGCCGCCTTGACCGGAATCACCACGCCTGAGTCCCAATTATTCATGGTAATCAAGTACGAACATGGCTTCCTGTAGCTGTGAGATTCGAACATACCAAACACCGCTTGACTTACTGGGCATCGTGATCTGGGACATTTTATATCCCATCCTGTGTATATTTTTCAAAATAAACAGTTTAATATGATGGTGACAAAAAGATATATTGATAGGATTTCAGTTATAGGTTTAAAAATCTTTCTTTTATTTTTATGATTTTTTTTTTATTTTTTATTTTTTTATTTATTTATTTATTTTTGTTCAGGTAAAAATTCAAAATTTTCATTTCCATCCAATCAAGACAAAGATAATTTGCCAAAAACACAGGAACATGTTTCCTGCCTTTTTAAAAAAATCTAAACTAAAAACGAACTGTGTTTAGCTAGCTCAGCAGATACAAATATTTCACAGTTGTTATGCTGGTTTTTCCTATCACAGAACAGAATGGGCGGTACCGTGCTGGTTACATTCATATTAACAGGTCCCGATCCTTCATGTATGGTCATTGGATTCTCACTTTCAACCTTTATCAAAATGTAAAAATAATGCCTAGCTTATTGTAGACAACAGGAGTACCTCATATAACAAAGATGTGCCTTTTAAGTAAAATAGATTAAATCTGACAACCAATAATCAGTGCATTATTTTTTCTCAGCATTCATATAACTTGTTATTGGATTTTTTTCCATGTAATTGAATTAAATACCATAATCAGAAAGTATATTCTTCGATTCATTTCTTTGTAAATGATAATGTAAACATAATTAGTATATATATTTTGTAGTGATTCCACACATTTCATAATATGTGTGATATAATTAGTCTTTTGTATAAAAAATAATTGTTATATTTGTATATAGTATATTTGGTTGCATGTCATATGTAAAAGAGCCAATTAAAAATACACTCAATAATTTCATCTTCGTCGTTACCTTTACATACCTGTAATTTAGCATTGAGTAATTTTGTACTTTTAGGTAATCCTTCTCTGGTACAGTTTCCAAGCCAACAAAAAACTAGAGTACATTGAATCTGAAATGAAATTAACTTATTTATGCATTCATAAATAAAATAAGCTTCTCTAAAGCTAGAAGTAACAAAAGAATTTCCTTTTTATTTTCTGAAATAGTTTGAATTCTATTGCTTGCACACAAATATTATATATGTACTGATACTCAGTTGGCATGCATACTTTTTCTTCAATTGTCTCAACTACCAGCATTTATTTGGTTGTTATCACATCGTTTCACTTTTATTTTTGCTTATTTCATAAGTTTTCTCCAAGGAAAATTTACCATATTTTTATAAGTACCTGGTCTCCATGAAGCAGCATGGGTATTTCATCACCCTGCAGGAAACTACTGTTCTGGTTTTGCAGGGTTTCTTCTTTTATTACTTGATCGTTCAGATGCCATATTACCCTAACCTGGATGTCTGAGGGATTAAATGTGTATGTACACACAAACCCTGTGTCCTGTATGGTCTCACCGACATTTAACGTCAGTACATGATCTATCAGCTGAACAGCATCTGAATAAGAAACAAATTATATTTATCAATTTGAAAGCAGGTAACTTCTGGGAAGAGTAATCAAAGAAAGTACCAACTAGCAAAAAGAGGACTGGTATATTTATTGACGTAACCAATTTTTCTTAAAATTTTGTTGTTTAATTCCAATAGTCATAGTTTCAAACTATTATAAATATTTTACTTTTGTTTATTAGATTAAAATATTCCTTCATTTTTAAATCAGATTTTCCATGAAGACTTTCTGAGGAAGCCAAATGCACTGTTGAATACTAATAAATATATAAAGTCATTATTATTTGATAACTGATTCTTTTGTGGAATAACCAGAAGCTTTTATTTGTAGAGTTCTTCTTTGTAAATTGAGAATAAAAACAGGATCCGATATTTTACTCTCGAGAATACTGAATATGAAAGAAGAGAGTCTATTCTTGCTAATCAAGAAAAATCGGAGACTTTCTTTTGGTTTTAGAATATTTTGGGGACAAATGAGCTTTTTTTTCAAAAGAAAAATATGCTCTTTATGCAGAAAAAACTTAATGATAATGAGTACGTACTATTTTTTTCACATATGAACATGTGTAGGCCAGAACAGCTGCCGTCAATCCACTTCTCCTCACTACCGACTTTCAATGCACAATCATTATTCGCATTATTCGGCTCACCTTTAACAGAAAAGTATTGCTTATTAACAATTTCAAAAACTCCTACCAATAATTAAACAGACAAAATTGTGGAAGGACGTTAATTGTCACTGCTTTTGTTATCAAAAGGAAAAAAGAAATTTTTGGTTTTAATAAAGTAGCAGACGCTAAACATCTCTTCTAAACACTACATTTTATCTTTGTTTTCTTTTTATTCACCATGTTATTCATTTTATCTTCATAAAATGTTTCAAAATAGTAGATTAGTTTTGCCCTTCAGAGTGACTAACATTATTTTCCTTCCCAATTCAATTTATTATTTAAAAATTTGCAAACAATGAGAGACAGCCCTTTATTCAAACTTTTCGTTTTAATAGAGTTCTGATTTTTTTGGTTTGCTCTGCTCCCAATTTGTATTGTTTAAATGGACTATAAGCTTGAATACTGTTCGTTATCTCCATATTTCAGACAATCTAAATGTAACTGCATGTCTGCATTTTTCTTCTTAATGATCAAAATCATGTGAAAAAAGAAAAACACAACATTTGATGATGTAGAAGACTGCATTTGTTCCATATTCTGAGAGCTTATTATTCCACACGCTTGAAAAGTGGGGGATATATAGTGATGGTGGTGTCCGTCCTTACTTCCTTTGTTACACTTCGGATCTTTTCCTTATCCGCAACTACTCTTACACTTCTGACCTTTTTTTTACATAGCTACATTGTCCATCTCAGATTTTACGTTTCGTTCGGAGACATATTTGGGGTTTCCATAGCAAAACATGGATGTTGCCATTCTAGGTTTGCTTGGGGGTAGCCATCTCTTATCCACGACTCCTCTTACACCACTGAGTGCAATTTAATTACATTTTCACAGAATCTTTATGACAGAGTGCCATTTTGCACCTCCTATTTTACGTTTCTATCAGAATGATATTTGGGGTTTCCATAGCAAAGAGTAGACTTGCCATTCTTTATTTAACATTGGGGATACCTATCTCTAATCTGCAGCTCCTCCTATACTACTGAATAAAAGTTAATGAGACTTCACGGAATCGTATTTACATTGTGTAATTTTGTGCCCTATTTTACGTTTTCATTGGACTGATATTTGGGGTTTCACATAGTAAAACATGGACTTTGTCATTATACTTAAAAAAAGATGGTACCCATTCTTTAACGCAACTCAGCCTAAACCTCTGAATGAAATTCAATGGAACTCTCTCAGAATCTCATTTATATACTGGAAAGAAATGTACTTTGCAATTATACGCATATGGGAGCGGGGTATCATTTTGTGAGATCAGTGCTCACAGTACATCTAATTTAATTACTGCATTCACCTGTTTGCCAGTTGGTATAATTCCATTTGACCCTAGTTCCTGTCCACGCCCAGTTTCCTTCCTGTGGCCCGTCTGTAGCACCCAACCAAATAGGCACTCCTTCTGACAAACCTTTAAAAGTGTTTACATTTATAACTACAAGTATTTAACCTTGAAGCTATAACGTTTCCACTGACCCATATAAACAAACAAGGCAGCGATTATTTAGTCTGTCCGGTCTGTACTGTTGCTGTTTCATTCCATCTTATATTTTTGAATGAGTCGCCCTCGTGGCGCAGTGGTTAGAGCGTCTGCTCTAGAATCGCGGAGTTAGGAGTTGATCCTTATGTCGCGGGTTTGAATCCCACTGTGGGACGTGGAGACCGGTCCTTCGGATGAGACCGTATAAACCGAGGTCAAGTGTCGCATTAGGTGCTGGCACGAAATAGATCCCTCACTGCTCAATGGCCCTGAGTGCCGAGTACGTCAAAAATTTGCAGCTCTCCACCGGCAAGTGGTGGCGTCTCCATATGAGTGAAAAATTCTCGGGAGGGACGTTAAACAACACACAAACAAACAAAAAATATTTTTGAATGATTTCATAGATGAAAGATACCTATATAAATTTATCATAAAAAATAATTTTCTCTCAGTATACAAATAATATTCAGGTATGATGTTTTATGCCTGTTGTTACACTTTTCAAAAGAGTGAAATTAAGTGGCAATAAAATTGCTTACACGGCTGCACAGCCATATGCATGTAAGTATTTTATGATTACCGGTAATGTTAATCATTAAAGATCAATCTGAAACATTTTCCCTGTAATTTAACAAATGTGAAACAATTTTTTTAAACAATTACTTAAACAGCTTTATTGACATATTAAGGACATACGCAACGTACCTTACCTACTGATAATTTTTCAAGATATTCTTAATTTATGATTATAGTGCCATCAGATGTTCATAGACAAAAAATCAGCATGCATAACCAGGGGTTTTGAAAAGATATCAACTGATGAAAATTCTTGTATAATTCAAAGAAAAATATACAAAAATTACTAAACATATATTCTAGATGTTTTATTTATCCAAACTTGTTTTAGAAGAAGTGCACAACAGCATACATAGACATTCAAATGTAGCACACAGTTCCTTTAAGTAAAAGAACTCTTCAACTCCAGGGAAAAAGACAATAAAGTTCAAACTACATTGCTATGTCCTTAAAAGATATTCACGGGTGATCTCGTTTTTTCACTCATTAGTAAAATACGAGATCAGCCGTCGATATCCGACGATGAACGGTGTTCTGAAATTTAAAATATAAAACTATGATTCGTATAGTGGAATTTTCTTCCCCCTACATGCAAGATAAACTATGATGATAACATTCAAAATAATTATGTAGACATGCGACTTATTGATGTCAACATGCAAAATAATTATGTTGACATGCAAGTTAACAATCTTTATAGAGAATCTATTTTTAATGCTGGTAAACTTACAGACGCCATTATATGACATAATACAAGCAAGATGTAACAGAATTATCTTGACATGCGACTTATTTACGTCAACATGCAACTTATTTATGTCAACATCCGACTTATATATGTCAACATGCGAGTTATATTTTAAAATGCAAGATATTTATGTCAACATGCAGATAATAAGTTGCATTTCAACATACATATCTCGCATGTTGACATAATTAACTCGCATATTAACATAATTATCTTGCATGTTGAAATAAATAGGATACATGTCTACATAATTATCTTGCATGTTAACATAAATAAGTCGCATGTTCTACACAATTATCTCGTATGTTAACATGAATAAGTCGCATAGCAAGATGAAACTTGCTTGTATGATGTCAGATAATGGCGTTAGTAAGCAAGTTTACCAACATTAAGATTAAATTTTCTAAAGAGATCTAAAGAGATTGTTAACTTGCATGTCAGCATGAATATTTTGCATGTTGACATAAATAAGTCGCATGTCTACATAATAATGTTACATATTAACATAATTTATCTTGCATGTAGGGGGCAGAAATATGCCACCATAGATTTGTGTAGATATGTAGGAAAATTTGTTTTACCATGAACAAAAGTCATCTCCGAGGAGGTCTCAATGTTGACCAATGAGGCCGAGTTTTGCTGACAGGTTTTCATGGCATTAGACCACTTCATCTTTGTTTTTAATAACTTGTACCCATGTCCGTCTTTGTATATCCAGGTAGAATCACATAGGGATAGTCCAGCTTTCATCAACAAGGAAACAGACAATACAAAACAATTCCATTTTTTTTTTAAAAATCTTTTTATTTTCATAGATGTAGGGTAAGTCAGGGTAATTTCGACCACCGTTTAATTTCGACCACAGGAACACAGCACCACACAAAGATCTACGGTAGTGTTGAGACAAGTTTAATTTATTCGTAATTATAGAAAACTATTCCTCAAATTGTGTGTCCTAGTATAATTATTCATCGCAAATATGGCTTGATCAGAGATATAAATAATATTTTTACTATTATTTATGTTTCCAGTTTGACGCTCGAAGTCTCCGTCTTCAGTGCACTTGATTTGATCAAGGAAATGCAAGAGAGACAACTCATACAACCTCTATTTCAGTTTAACCTTGTTCAGCAGTCTACAGCACGAATTAAATAAAAATTGTTTTATTTTTTCTTGGAATATCTTTAAGTTGCAGAATTTGACAAATTTATCTTGGATTTCTCTCAAAATGCACAAGAAACCTCCATTTGATATTGGTCGAAATTACCCCTACTGATTTTAAGGACGCGGGGTAAATTCGACCACTTATTCTGAAATATGTATGTTGTCTTTAACAGCTGTTTAATGCAATGCAGAGTTAGATCTTTAAAAAAATGATTATACTTTATATGTACAATATTATCTACATATAACCTTTTATATTAAAAAAAAAATATGTCAGATTAATTATCATATGCATGCCTGCTATAAATATTGTCCGGGCCATTCACGAGGGTGCATCACTGATCGACGTGCGAGAGAACACGGAGTCGGCACTGGCTTTGAATTAACACATGACGAGAGCAATCCAAAAGTTTTCAAACCCGTCAAATTAACAAAAGAGGGGGTGCAGGCAATATTAAATATAAGTTAAAAAAAAATCAGGTTTTTGTAAATTTTTTTTCATTATTACGAATGCGTAAACTTGGACGGATAAGACTGAGGCTATCGAAAACCAACGAACCAGTCGTATTTAGATCGTATCACACAGTCAAACACAAATCCAAATAGTACCCAAAATATCAGAACAACACACCAAAAGAGCTACAACAATCTTGAAACAAAAAAAACCCCACTATGATGTTATACGAAATAAATGATTTGTTTGAGTTTGTTTTTTGTTCCGGGGGGGGGGGGGGGGTTCAGAGGACTTTGCTTCCGTAAATCTTTATTTAATTGACTTGATCGAATTTCTCAGGATCTATCTCTTTTAAGAATGAACAAAACACGTAAAATACGTAATACAACGCATTCCAAATGAATGTGTATGTGGTAAAAATTAGTGAAGAAAAATATACGTAATTCCAATGCTATGCTCAAACCTTATACAGATATATACAATCTGAATGATTCTGTTGTGAAAAGACGATATTAAATAAAATTCCTTTTGGGTTGGACAATTTAAAAATCATAAAGAAATTATTTGTGGAATCTGAGAAAATTTTATCTATTTGCATAAGTATATATCACAATTTTAAAATATAGAGTTGGCGAATTAAAAGCAGAATTTAGAATAAAGAATGAGAATTAAGATGTCTGTAAAACGGTATTGAAAAGCTTAAGTAACCCAACTCATTTCTTAACTGTATGGATATACTAGTACTTACCCATTTTAATCTTTTTATTGAGAGAGATAGAGATAGATACACGTATATTCTAAATAGGGCAATATAGTTTCTCGGACCATAATTTTGAATAAAATGCGACAGGTAGAGTTTACTTTCATTGCAAGAGTTATCTTTCTTTTTGATGTTTGTTGTGGTCGAAATTACCCCAAGTCCGGTCGAAATTAACCCATGCAACATGCTTACCTATTTTTAAACCAATTCATTATTTTTTATGCATTTTAACTACCAAAGCAGAAAAATATGAAGAAAAAAAATCAATGTAATTTATTCCGAATCTTTTTTAAACTAGTACATTTGAAAGCAGTCGTGTTTTGTGGATTGAAAGCCACAAATCAGCAAAAGTGGTCGAAATTACCCCACTCTACCCTATAAAAAAAAGAATGAAGAATAAAACCTGAAAATTCTTACCTTTCTGTTCACATATGTATGGCATATTAATGGATCCGGAACATATGTAATCATTCCATAAATCAGCATTCCAGAAATGGAGACAGTCTTCGTTACCCCTATAGTTATCTGGTTGTCCTGAATAACATGAGAATCAAAATATTTCTAGCGATATAATTTTTAACGTTCGCTCAAAACTTAATTTTCAATTCAATTCACTTTTTTTTATTGGAGATTTACATGTATGTTAATATTGAATTATTTTTCGTTTCGCTAGTTTAGCATGTCATACATATGGGGATCAATTTGTCTGGTGTCTGTAGTGTCAGTACGTCTGTCTGTCAGCCTGTAAAAGAAAAATCACACTTTTATATAAAAATAGAACTCACATGTTTTATATCATATCGTTGAAAATAGAAAATAGCACAGCAAAACACAGATATACGAAGGTGCTTAAAGTTTTAATCGGGAGTTTAACATTGTAGTTTGGAAAAAAACACAGTAGGCACAGGGATCGATCCGTACGTACATAACCAGGCGTTTTCAATGCGGAAAATCAGGAGTTTTGAGATATGTATCACAGAATATGCATCACAGAATATCTATTGAAGGTACTTTACATCTTAAGATATTTGTTCATGTCAAAAGAAATAAGACAACATGAATTATCAATCTGTCAGAATTCCCATGGGTACAGTTGCGCCCAGTTATAAACAGTAGGCCCGTAGAACGCAGGGGGGCAGCCCCCCTCCCCACTTTTTCTCAGAATATATTACTTTGCTGAAGCAAATTTTCCTTTAGATGCTGCTTGCCCCCCCCCCCCCTACTTTTTGATGTAAGTTTTGTGTGTGTGTGTGTGTTTTTTTTTCTTTTGCTTGTCAGATAATTTTGGTAAGTTTAGGTTTTTTTTTTTTTTTTTTTTGCTTATCAGATTTTTTTTTTTAGCGAAGTCCCCCCCCCCCCCCAAATTTTGAAATAGTTGCTACGGGCCTGGGCAGACCTTTTTTGTATTCATATGAAGCAGAATTTATTCCAAAACTTCTACATGAAAAGGAGAAGTCTCTTGCTGTGGCCTTCAATTTGACATTTAGATATATTGACAACGTTTTATGAATTAATAATATTCATTTCCATCCCTACATTGATTCGTTATATCAATTTGAACTGAACATAGACACACCACAGAGTCAGACACATCTGTTTCATATATGATATTTTACTAGAGAAAGACATAAATGACAAACTAACAACAAAACTTTGTAATAAACGTGATGACTTTAACTCTTCTATCGTCAACTTCCCTTATTTGTGTACCAACATACCATTGTCACCTGCATATGGAGTTTATGTCTCCCAGTTGATTCGATACGCAAGAGCCTGCTCTACGAACAATTTTTAAAACAAGGCAAGCTATTGACAAATAAGCTGATGATAAAAGGATATCAACATTTCATTTAAGGTCAATATTTTGCAAATTCTATGGTCGATTACAAAGAAGGAGATGAAAATGTACAGATGTTAACCACGAACAACTACCGGCGAAAACAGATAGCAATAGCTCATCTGTGTGAATAATGTGAACTTAGAATGGTACGTACTCAGAAATTTTCATACCTAGTGATTGGTCATAAACAAAGTCACTTTGTTAAACATCCCTCTGAATCTACGCAACAAGTACTCAAACGTTGATATTAAAAGGATGATGGAATCCTCATTGACAACGTCTATGTAGTCTTTGGAGACCAGGTCTTCCAACAAACTGTTGGAATTTCGAAGGGCACTAATTGTGCACTTTCATTAGCTGACCTGTTTTTATATTCCTATGTAGTAGAATTTATTCAAAAACTTCTACAATTGACTATTTGGATGTTTTACTGACAATAGACGATAAAGACCAGCTAATAAGTAAACTGTATGACAAACGAGATGACTTCATCTTTTCCATCGTCAACTTTCCTTACTTATATATAGTAGTACTCCACTATCACCAGCATATGGTGTTTACGTCTTTCAACTTATTCGATACTCAGAGCATGCTCAGAGCCGATCAGTTTTTAAACCAAGGCAGGCTACTGACAGATAAGTTGATGTTAAAGGGATTTCAACAACATCGGTTAAACTCAGCATTTCGTAAATTCTATGGTCGTTATAATAACCTTGTTAGTAAATATAACCCATCATTGGATCGAATTTTGACTAACATATTTCATATCAATTGTTAGGCCTTCGAATTTATACTGAATTTGACAACGGAATGTCCCGTCTACCTGATCAATACAAAGGGCTCACGACGGGTGTAACCGGTCTACAGGGGATGCTCATTCCTTCTAGGCATCTGATCCCACTTCTGGAATTTCCGGGGTCCGTTTTCTATACACTGTTCACAAATTTGTTTGTACGGGTTTTTGGTTTTTTTTTTTTTAGATCAATCATTGTCCGTTACCTTAACCTTTTTCACTGATATAAAAAAGATTTTTTTAAATTTATATTGGGGAGGGGGGGTTATGTTTATACTTCAATAATGGCACAAGTTGAATTTTAATTCTTATATGAGGTCTGACATTGATACAAGTACATGTATGTTACTAAGCATGTTAGTTCACCCATCTGTTTCGATAACTCTTGGTATTCTCGTGTTCTTAAAGAAAAATTCAGACGTTGTGTGAATAGCTGTTATTGCAAATAAATACCTTATAGGAGAACTTATCTGTATTTTTTTTCCGTGTAATTTTCCTCTCCAAATAAGTTGATAAGTAAAATATTTCGATTCTTTGATGATTTAATTTGAAATTTAAGCAAAAGTAAACAATCAATTCTATAAATATTATTACAGTGAAAGATTCAGATGCTTCGAAATGTTTTGATTTTTTTACACTTATTACTCTATCCCCTACACTCCCTCCCGGACAACTACCGTTACCAACTTAAAATTCCAAAAACATAGTCATAGTGCTAAGATAAAATATTCTCTTAAATATTAAATAATCTAAAACTATTGAAAGTTATGAAAACTCTTAATTCATCCATGACTTGCTTGTTTGGTTTACACAAAATATGAAATTTAACTTTTTTCAATTTTCACCCCCCCCCCCCCCAACTTCCTACAAAAATATTTCCCAAGAATTCATTTATTTGTTGTAGATTTTAATAGAATGTATGGAATTCAATGAATTTGTTTTGCTAATGTGTTTCATTAGTATTTTGCATGCATCAGTTGACTTACGTGGGTCCCAGCGTGTATACCCCCAGGGCTGATCACTACTGTACCAAAGCCAATGACCCTCATCTGAGGCATCAGAAGCACCTAACCAAGCCTGAAGTCCATTAGCGAGCTCTGAAATCAGTGTAAGATAATTCATGGCCTTTGCCTTTAGAGCTCTCTCTCCCTTTCTCGAACGAACGAACGAACGAAGGGAGTAAAACAAATTTCATAGCATTAAAATTACAATTGTTTTGCAATCAGTTAAACAACATGAATTCTTCTCGGTGCTAAAAATGGAATTGACATTTATTTATCTTTGAAATATAAGCAGTTAATTTTAATTCCTTGTGTTTAGAGTTTTATGAAATAAATTTCCCTTACTATATACAAAGTCTTGTTCGTCGTTTGATCCAATGTCCACCAGACTGCTGTCTTCGGCCTGGCATGCCTTCAGAGCATCCATCCAGGTTTTTGTAGACGTGTACAATTTGTAACAACTCTCACCAAAGCTAGACCACCCAGGTTTGCACGTCACTGCAGACACTTATAATTTCCAAAATATAAAAAGGAATGTTATTGTTACTGCCTTAAAAACCACAGTTTAATCAATGTATTTGAATGGTCTGATATAGTTTATAGTATTAATATGATTTAATTAAGGACAGATGATACAAACAAACATAACAACTAAAGTCATTTTGAACATCGATAGAAAGTTTACAATATTTCAGTATTTTAGAAATTTAATATAAGCATCATTTACAGCCTAAAAAGTTCCTAAAAATATATCAATCCAGGCATCATTATTTTTTTTTTCTTGGGGGGGGGGGGGAGGGTTATCATCTGTCCTTAACATTATTTTAATACCATGTGTTTTGAAGGTACTAGTAATGTGTTCTACTAGAATGAATGAGAGGATATTAATGGTATTGTTGTAGAACTAAATAAAATACAAAATAAACTCATTTTTTCACGTTAATTTAAAAATAGAACCAAGTGGGTTTTGTAATGTCTGCTTTTATTCTTTGTACTTTTTACCTAACCATAGTAGGAGTTCAAATTGACCCTTCAGTATGGATTATAATGGAGCCGAGGCCCCAAAGGGACAGGGGCTTATTGCTATTAAGGATTGGGGAGAAGCAAGGATAATGACCCACATCAAAGGTTACAGGATGCTAAACTTCACCAGTTTTCTTATTAAAATGTAAGAACATTTAAAATAGTTTTGATAAGCTTCTAACAAGTTAAGCACCATCAATAGAGGTACACGAGGGTGAACTTGTAAAAAGTGTCTAAAGAAATAACTGTTTTTAACTCTCCATTCCCGAGAAAAAATAGCTTCATGTTTAAGCACGGCAAACCTCCTGAATTGAAAGGCTGAATTGATATTCGTTTTTCAACGAATACATGAGGACCTCATTAAGAAATTAAAAGCTACCATAATTACACTGGATATCAATCCTTGGTCAATTTCCTATGATTCATAACACCCTATCTTACATAATGTAGAATCAAATAACTGAAAGCCATCTATAACAGTAGCCAATTTAATCGACCCTTACGTGCAAACAGAAGTTAAAAACCCCTTCAGAAGTGAGACATACAGTGTATTTCATTTCTAACTTTAAGAACTGATACGGTTAATTTCATCTTGGCTGCTCGGTGAGAGTGTTGAAAAGATTTAAAGTAGTTCATGTTTGACCTTGAAGGTTAACGACTGATAGATGATCTTGGTAGAATGTTATATATACATGTATAAGAGAATTTATACATCTAAAACATAAACAGAATTATTGAGATCGGATTCAAAATAACATTGAAAAAATGAAATTTTTGATAGGATAAGTCTTTTTATTCATTAATACCAAAAGACATATAGACCACGTACTGAATAACGTAATTTACAGTAACTTTATAAACGGCACAGTTTGTTCGGTGCCATCTATCAATCATAGTTTTTAATTCTTAAAAGAGATTAAGATCAGATCTTAATTTTAGGAAATAATTAAATATTTCGGCATAATAAGTTATTATTTGACACTGCGTATCATCGCAAATATAAAATGTACAATAGATTTTTTATTGTTTTCTTTCATTTGCTATACATCCAAACCCTACTCATTGCTGAATTCTGTTTATTCAAAATTGAGACAAGTTTGCTTTGTTTATATATATATATTTTTTCTTTAGAAGATTTTGGAAATCCACGACAATTTTCAACCAGTACTTTTCAGCACTGACTTTTCATTCGTCGCTTCTACTTTTTCGTTAGCAAATATGCTGGATATATTTTCACACAAAGTAATTTTAGATGAAATTTACTGTCATATCAAATAAAATAATTTCATTACCTTTTCAGACTTCCCAAAATATTGTAGGAAGATTTGTCATCTTCTAATTTTGATTTAAAAAGTCATTTCTCTTCAGTATTATTATCACTTTTAAGATAATATAATTATATGTATAAATAATAGAGGCATCTCTCTATCTCACTTTTTAAAAAATGATTAATAAGATGATAAAAATGAGGATAAATTTTTTTGACATATTACCTTCAAAGTGAATTTGTCCCACTAACAAAAACACTATCATCCATACTATAAGATTGTAGGAATCTTTGCTACTTTTCATGTTGAAAACTCATGCGTAACAAAAAGGAAATACAGCTTCCATTTATCTTTCCTCGAGATGAGGCGAAATGTAAGAAAAAGTAGTGCTGCTTGAAAAATGAAGGACTTGAACTCCGTCATTTTTATGTCACGCCACTCCCCTTTTCATTGTTAACAATATGTTGCTTATTTTATTTTTTAAAAAACTTTTATCACATAGCCTATTAAAATATTAAAAGCGAAGTACAACCTAGCTTATAAAGTTTTGCATTTATCTAAATATTTGCAGTTAGGCCTTATCTATGAGCCTCTTTTCAGGGATTATAAAAATTATTCTAAACATATTTTGTCCTTTGCTACATAACTTTTTGACTCTTCTTTCGACGTCCGTTGAAATACCTGTTGATGATTTTCCAACATATAAAAATCTTCGTAGGAAAGCTTATACAATAAACGAATCATCATGTTTCAGAAATGTCAATAGACTTTATAATTATTCAAATAATTTAAGTTTTTTTCCCTAATTTGTTTCCATTGTCCAGAGAAATTGAGAACAGCGTGTCGTATATTGCTAGTATACAAAAAGATTAGTCATGTCAAAATCTTGAAGGACTTTTAACAGTGATTTTATCCCCAAAAAGCACATCATTCTTATGAAGCACTTGCGTAAAAGAAAGATTATTAACTGTTTGAAATGGTTGATGGTTTTAAGCAGATGGAATTGAATTTTACTAATTCATTCTGAAGGAGGTCAATAATTATGATACATGTAAATGTATTAATCTCATTAAACTGACAACAAAAATCTTAGCATAAGCAGCCCCCGTCATGTTAGAAATGTACTTGAAAATATTTTTGTCCAAACTGGGTAAAACGTGGAATATTTTTAATTTGTGGGGACCATTTTCGTGGGCGAAGTCTCGCTCTGACGTCAAGTTCAGGTGAGTTATTGTTGAGGCTGAAATTCTTGGTAAATATCAGCAAGCCTATGCTCTGCTTTACTTGTTGTTTGGTTTTTATACCCGTATTTTCTAAAGAAAGTTCAGGTATATTATTATCCTGGTCCGTCCATCTGTTCGTCTCTTACGTCTCCATCTTCTTCCTCAAAATACTTTTACTTTTTAAGCAATAGCCGACTAATATTTTGGAATATGAGTGGTGGTGCTTTAAGAATGTGCAAAAAGATTTTGAAATTTTCAATTCAATTCACCCTGGGGCCAAATGGGGGTAAAAACGGTGTTTTTTTTAACCGTGTTCCTTGAACTCCGTTTACATTTTTTTACAGCAATCCAATCATATTTTGGAATATGATTTGGAGTGTTCTGTAGATGTGCAATAAGGTTACGAAATATTAATTTTCACCAAGGGGTGGGGGTGGGGGTGATTTGGGGTCAAAAACGAAGTTTTTCTTAAAAAAAATTGGTTCCCTGAACTCCACTTACATTTTTTGCAGTAACCTGATCATCTTTTGGAACTAAGATTGTTGGTGTCTTGTAGATATGCAAGGTTTCAGAATCATTTTCACCCTGGTGGCCAAATGGAGGCTAAAAATTTCCAATTCAGGATGCCGGAATGATCTCTGGAGGGAGTCAGAACCCCATATACCATTTAATGTGTTATAATATAAAGATGGTTTAGGGGCTTTTAATCTTAATAAAAGATATTTGATTATTTCCGGTTCTAGGGAGTATATACCAGTACACCACGTGCAACCCAGTGAGTACGGTAAAAGTACCAGGCTGTGTTATTAGGTGCGGATCTAGAATTTTACAGGGAGACGCAAATATAGGTCCTCCAATGTTTTGTGATTGGATATGATTTTTTTTTCCAATTTACTTCATTAAATTCTGTAATTTCAAACTTGTGATGAATTTATGACTCTCCTGAGCTTTTTACTATATATATCATACATAAATATATATAGTCTGTGTAAATTATAGAATTATAGTGGCCTTTTCCCTGCTTACCCAAATATGAAGATGAGCATATTTAGAACATACATCTATGTGCGGGCATTTCTGTTTTGTGACAGCATCTTTTTTTCTTTATTTAAAATTTTTACTGCATTTAATTACAATTTTACACCTGTCATTCATGACTTTGATTTGTTTTAGTGTTTATTCAAATTGTGCCAAAAATGACAATATTTTATATTGAATTTAGACAACGACGATGATATAGAATCGTCACTTATTTTTTATAACGAGTTTTATAAAAACAGCGTACACATGGACTTAAGAAATCAGATGCCTCAAAATGGGAGAGAGTGCAACACTTTTTATAATTCACAATTGGGTTAATATAAGGTTCTCATGTAAAGAGATAGTAAATTTGTCTTCCGCTTATTCATATATCAAAATATAATCGTAATTGACACAGGAATGTTTAAGTGGAGATCGTTCCGCAGTTGGACAGATATCAGGTGGGTGGTATTAAACTTCAAAAAAATATTGTTTTTATTGTAAAAAGATCTTTTGATTTCTCATTATCAACATGAAAGACTATATATAATATGTATCTTTCTTAAGTTAGATTATGTAGCTAAAATAATATCCCTACATCATGCTATGTTCGATATTCCTCACTCTGGCCAATATTTTAAGTATAGACAATTGGGAAACGTTTGGAATCTGTCAGTGACTGGGTTATACACCAACCTGTGTGTAGGAGAGACAAATCATTTTAATATTAAGTGGAATGACATTTTCCGGGTAAAACTTTAAGGTACATAACTAAGATTTAAAAAACAACAAGAAAGGCCAACATTAAAACCTGGTCAACATATACATAAATATATGCATACTTAGATTCAATTTGCACAGCTGAAATGCAAGAACTTCGCTTATTTACAACA